GTTACAGCGGGAATATCTGGGATATCTGTGAGTGTGGGGTCAGGGGTCATAACGGGAATATCTGTGAGTGTGTTGTCAGGGGTGACAGCGGGAATATCTGGGATATCTGTGAATGTGGGGTCAGGGGTTACAGTGGGAATATCTGGGATATCTGTGAGTGTGTGGTCGTGTTACAGCGGGAATATCTGGGATATCTGTGAGTGTGGGGTCAGGAGTTACAGTGGGAATATCTGGGATGTCTGTGAGTGTGGGATCAGGGGTCACAGCGGGAATATCTGAGATATCTGTGAGTGTGGGGTCAGGGGTCACAACGGGAATATCTGTGAGTGTGGGGTCAGGGGGTTACAGCGGGAATATCTTGGATATCTGTGAGTGTGGGGTCAGGGGTTACAGCGGGAAAATCTGGGATATATGTGAATGTGGGGTCAGGGGTCACAGCGGGAATATCTGGGATATCTGTGAGTGTGGGGTCAGGGGTCACAGCGGGAATATCTGGGATATCTGTGAGTGTGGGGTCAGGGGTTACAGTGGAAATATCTGGGATATCTGTGAGTGTGGGGTCAGGGGTTACAGCGGGAATATCTGGGATATCTGTGAGTGTGGTGTCGGGTTACAGCGGGAATATCTGGGATATCTGTGAGTGTGGGATCAGGGGTCACAGCGGGAATATCTGGGATATCTCTGAGTGTGGGATCAGGGGTCACAGCAGGAATATCTGGGATATCTGTGAGTGTGGGGTCAGGGGTCACAACGGGAATATCTGTGAGTGTGGGGTCAGGGGTTACAGCGGGAATATCTTGGATATCTGTGAGTGTGGGGTCAGGGGTTACAGTGGGAATATCTGGGATATCTGTGAGTGTGAGATCAGGGGTCACAGTGGGAATAATCTGGGATATCTGTGAGTGTGGGGTCAGGGGTCACAGCGGGAATATCTGGTATATCTGTGAGTGTGGGGTCAGGGGTTACAGCGGGAATATCTGGGATATCTGTGAGTGTGGGATCAGGGGTTACAGCGGGAATATCTGGGATATCTGTGAGTATGGGGTCAGGGGTTACAGTGGGAATATCTGGGATATCTGTGAGTGTGGGGTCAGGGGTTACAGCGGGAATATCTGGGATATCTGTGAGTGTGGTGTCGGATTACAGCGGGAATATCTGGGATATCTGTAAGTGTGGGATCAGGGGTCACAGCGGGAATATCTGGGATATCTGTGAGTGTGGGATCAGGGGTCACAGCAGGAATATCTGGGATATCTGTGAGTGTGGGGTCAGGGGTTACAGCGGGAATATCTTGGATATGTGTGAGTGTGGGGTCAGGGGTTACAGTGGGAATATCTGGGATATCTGTGAGTGTGGGATCAGGGGTCACAGCGGGAATATCTGGGATGTCTGTGAGTGTGGGGTCAGGGGTTACAGCGGGAATATCTGGGATATCTGTGAGTGTGGGGTCAGGGGTCACAGCGGGAATATCTGGGATATCTGTGAGTGTGGGATCAGGGGTCACAGCGGGAATATCTTGGCTATGTGTGAGTGTGGGGTCAGGGGTTACAGTGGGAATATCTGGGATATCTGTGAGTGTGGGATCAGGGGTCACAGCGGGAATATCTGGGATATCTGTGTGTGTGGGGTCAGGGGTTACAGCGGGAATATCTGGGATATCTGTGAGTGTGGGGTCAGGGGTCACAGCGGGAATATCTGGGATATCTGTGAGTGTGGGATCAGGGGTTACAGCGGGAATATCTGGGATATCTGTGAGTGTGGGGTCAGGGGTTACAGTGGGAATATCTGGGATATCTGTGAGTGTGTGGTCAGGGGTTACAGCGGGAATATCTGGGATATCTGTGAGTGTGGGATCAGGGGTCACAGCGGGAATATCTGGGATATCTGTGAGTGTGGGGTCAGGGGTCACAGCGGAAATATCTGGTATATCTGCATCTGGTGTTTAATGGAGCTGAGTCTGACTCTATATACGCTTATTGCTTTTTTAAATGCTGTTGACTTCAAAGTGCCATGCACAAAAAAATTAGCCTGGCATGCCAGAGCTACATCAGGATGTTAGGTCTGGGAACTTACCATTGACAGGGCTCAATACGAGCGGCGGGATAAATGGCTGTCTTTCAAATTCCCTCGGCACGCAATAGGATAGCGCTACAACCAACCAAACCAACGAAGAAGGTGACGTAGTCAGAGCGATCTCACACATCTTAACACAGAACACATCTTCCTTTTTTAAAAATGACTCAGGTGCCGTTCTTCGTTCATGTTTCAAAGAAAAGCTTAACTTTAAATCATCCAGAGTCGGGGCCAAAGCCGAATCAAAAGACAGCTGTTCGCCAGCAGCCGCAGCCATTCTTTGTCTTCAAGTAGCAGTGAACCGTCGCATCTCTGTCGTCATTATGTTAAGCCCGCCCGCCGACTCTATACACGATGTGATTGGCCTGACTAGTGTTTGGTTTTTCCAGCTCGAAAGTCAACGGAGAGTTGCTAGACTACACTGGCT